GTTTGCTAGAGTTCCTTGATGCCACATGTGAAACGTGGCCTTGATGTCAAGGGCAGTTGCTTTCACCTCACCTCTCAAACTGAGTTCTTTTGTCCAGGTTTGGATCAAGTATGTTATAAAGTCAGAAGCTGAGTGGGCCTGATAGAACCCTAACTGAACATCAGTGAGCAGGTTATTGCTAAGCAGGCAGTGTTTTATAACACTGTTGATGACACCTTCTTTCGTACACTGAAGATCAAGAATTGACTGACAGGGCATTAATTGGTTGGATTAGATTTGTCCTGTTTATTGCTTACAGGAGATAAATGGGCAATTTTCCACATGGTCAGTGTTGTATCTGTGTTGGAACAGTTTGTCTAGGGGTGTGGCAGGCTTTGAAGCGCAAATCTTTGGTATTGCCAGAATGTTGTCAGGGTTGTTAGGAAACTGGGCTAGCCAGCCAAACAAAATCAGCCTCCTATCAATGGATTCATAACACAGGGAAATTAAAACATTGAATGACCCTCGGAATTGCTCAGTGGTTCCTAACAAGACTTTACAAATAACAGATCTTGGGCACTAAGTTTATAACTTAAACAAAATTTGACAATTTATCATTGAGAATGTAACTTTAGCATAACACACATAGACAATAAAGCAATGTAGTTAATAGATACAATTTAAGCCCAATCTTCTTTGATCGTAAACTCCCACTCTGACAGACAGAGAGACCTAGTTAAGGGATAAATTGCGAAAGACAATAAAAGAATCATAATTTGCCAGTTCAGTAACCATGTCAACAATGAATATGAGGTCTTTATAAAATCCTTGGATGGTATGTGTATTACAGGTATGCGTTACTTGCTTGAATTCAGAAGTCACTGATCAATGTAAACAGCTTCCACAGATGTCTGGAGACCTTTACTTATTTCTAACAGATTGGAACCCTTAGAACTTTCAACAATTCAATAACTGGGGAATAACCAGAGAGAACCAAAATTGTAGAACAGTCCCAGTCTGGAAGCTTCCAAAACAAGATTGTTCCTGCCCAAAACCCAGTCAGCACCAGTTCACTGTTTGTTTTCTTTTTATTTTCACCATTCTCTATGGTTGGCTGGCCAGCACCGGTCTGTTCTTGATTGACTAGTTCAACATCCAACCCAGCTGCCAGTGCCTGAGCATAGCAAAGTCTCGCTACCAAAATATCTAGTGTCCTCAACATAGTAATGAACCTCCATTATCCTCCCAGGCCAGTTCCCAATAGCAAACATCTATCTTTTCTTCTCTTTTTAAAATTAAGCTGCTGTTCAAAATTCAAAGTTCAATTTTCAACCGCAATTCTCAGTTCCAAACCAAAAATGAGAAAAATAAAAGAAAAATAGTGATGGTCTCAACAGGGCTCATAGCCTTTGTGGTATCAAGTGCTTCCAACTGTTTGTTGATATCTCTCAGAATCTCTGAATTGCCTGAAGACTGGCATCTAAGATGCTAGGGACCTCTGGAGGAGGCACTTGGCACTTCTGGCTTAAGATTGTTGCAAATGTCCCAGTCTTATCTTTTGCAATTGTGTGCTGTGCTCCTCCATTACTGAGGATGAGGATATTTGTGGAGCTTCCGCCTCCAGTGAGTTGGTTAATTGTCCACCACAAAAGGTGGCACAGTAGCTCAGTGGTTAGCACTGCTGCCTCTCAGCGTCAGGGACCCGGGTTCCATTCCACCCTCAGGCAACTATCTGTGTGAAGTTTGCACATTCTCCCTGTGTCTGCGTGGGTTTCCTCCCACAGTCCAAAGATGTGCAGGCTAGGTGGATTGGCCATGCTAAATTGCCTGTATTGTTCAGGGATGTGTAGATTAGGTGGGCTATAGGGTGATGGGTCTGGGTGGGATGCTATGAGGGTCAGTGTGGACTTGTTGGGCCGAAGGGCCTGTTTCCACACTGTAGGGATTCTATAATTCTAAAAACAAATCACTACCTAGTGTGGCAGGGCTGCAGAGTTTAGATCTCAGATCTCATTAGCTTCACTAGGTTGACATTTTTAGGTATATCTGGTGCTGCTCCCTGCATGCCCTCCTGCCTGCTTCATTGAACCATGGTTGAACTCCTGCCATGATGGTAATAGTAGAGTTGGGAATGTACTGGGCCATGAGGTTGCGCATTGTGTTGAAATACAATTCTTGCTGACTCTGTTTGATTATATTATGTATTTCTAAATGTTCTGCTGTTATTTCCTTTATTGTAAGACTCTTAAGATTTTCCCAACAACAGATGTTAAGGTGACTGGCCGATAGTTGCCTTTTTTTGTTTAATCTCCATCCCTATTTAATTAACATTTTTTCAAAAATAAGATTCATTTTAGCTCCAATTTAAACTCTGAACAAATATATTGGATTAACTTTTTTGAGAAACCACTTGGTTTAACTAGGCTAATATTACTGACTGGTTGAGCGGAGCAAAGTAGCACCTAAAGATTGTTTACCCACAGCTGTTACAACTAAGAGTTTTCTGATTTGTACATTATGAATTAATGATGGTGATGCTGATTCTATACCATGTGGTCTGTTTAACAAATTAGTAAGCAAGCCCCATGATTGTTAGAAATGTGTAATCACATTTCTTTCAGCCTGAAATTATAACAGCTGGTGAATTTGATATTCGTTGTTTTTTGTTTACAATATTTCAGTTTTTACAGCTGCTGCCAGTTATGGACCATTCCCCAGAGTTTCATTCAGTTTCCTCTTTCTGTTTTCATCATAATTTTTCCTTGTTCAATTAGTCTTTTAAAGCTCTCGATACTGCAGTAGAGCCACCAATGAAATTAACCTTTTGCTGATGTTTCAAAAATTTTCTCCATGGTTCAGTTTAAAAGTGTGTAAAAATCAGTGTTAATTGCTAAGAACTTTGAAGATTGAACTGTATTGTCAATACAGAAGAGGATGCTACTGGACCAAATAAAAACCGAAAGAACTGCGGATGCTGTAAATCAGGAACAAAAACAAAGTTGCTGGAAAAGCTCAGCAGATCTGGCAGCATCTGTGAAGGAAAAAACAGAGTTAACGTTTCGGATCCGGTGACCTTTCCTCAGAACTGATGTTTTGAGAAAGGAACAGCAGTTTTGAGAAAGAGTCACTGGAGCCGAAATGTTAACTCTGTTTTTACCTTCGCGGATGCTGCCAGACCTACTGAGCTTTACAAGCGACTGTGTTTTTGCTACTGGACCAGTATTCTCAACATCTGGGCTAATGCTTTGGAGACTTGAGTTTAAATCTGACCATGGGAGCAAGGGGATGTTAACTAAATTAATAAATTTAGAATAAATATCTAGCCCCATAATAATCATAAAGCTATTGGATTGTCATTAAACAAATCCATACAATTTAATGATGTGCTTCAGGGAAGATAATTTGACAGCCTGGTATGTCCCAAAGTTCCCTCATTCAGAGGGTGCATACATGCCTTGTTGAGTGCCCATGCCATTCACAGCATTGACTTACAGTTTCATAAGTTGCTGCAGCACATGGACCTCGAAGGTCCACACACAAGATAAAGAAATTGGAGAGATCGTTGGTCTGGTCTTCATGTGACTCCAGAACCACATCACTTGGAAGAAGCTCTGAGGCTATCAAAGGCATAGAGTGTACTCTTGGTAGGGACTTCAGTATCTGCCACCCAAGAGTGGTTGAGTGGCATCAGTACTGACCAAGCTTACCAAGTCTTGAAGGAGATGTATCAGCCCAATTGGGCCAGCAGCAGATGGTAAGAGAACAAAAGCATACTTGACCTCGTTTTCATCAATCTATCTGTGACATATGTGGCCATGACAGTATTGGTATGGAGTGTCTGTACAATTCTTGTGGCAATAACATCCTGCCTTTACACTGAGGACACCTTATCTGAGGACAGTTCTGCCATCCCTGGTTTCAGCCAAGTGAATCAAGTATATCCTTTCTAATTTCGGGAGACCAAACTGCCAATAACAGTAGATAATTAAACAAAGGTGTTAAATGCTGCAAACCTTCAGCAGCGTGTGCAGTAACCTATTTAAGAGATACCTTATGAATGCTTTTTAGAAATCCAGTTACACAGCATCTGCATGTTCCCTTTTATCTTCCCTCTTCATTACGTTCTTAAACAACTCTTAATAAATTTATCAGACGTTATTTCCTTTCATAAAACCGTGACATAATCCCTGTTTGATTGTATTGAAATTTTCTAAATTTCCTGCTACTACTTCCTTAAGAGTGGATTTTAGCATGATTCCAATAACAGATGTTAGGCTGACTGGCATATAGTTTCTTGCTTGCTCTCGTCCTACTTTCTTCAAAAGGGATGTTTTCCTATTGGTGAAACCCTTCCAGATCTACAGTATTTTGGAATATTCCAACCATTGTATCTACTAGCTGCTGACTTATCCAAATGAATGATTGACTTTGTAGTAATTGTTAAACAAAGACAGTTTTTCTGAAACTATTTTGGTCTTTTGCGGACTGATTGTCACTCTCTTAGATGAAACCTAAATTATTGAATAATCAGCCATCATCCTGTTTCTATACATTTTCCACATGTACTTGGATATAAGGTTGGCTGGTATCAAATGTAGTAATGTTTCTATTGTTTGGATTGTCTTTATTGGAAAAAACTGGGTAATCTTGAAGAAACTTTGGGGTTAATTTGTTAACTCAAACAGAATAAAATAATTGAATCAAGTAGGAAACATGATCTGATTGTGGAAATAATTTTGGGATATGTACATGAGATACAGCTATCAAGAAAATCTCAAACTAGGTTAGACAGGTTTTATGACAAGTGTTCTGTGTCATGTGACAGGTATTTAAATTTGATCAACACAGAATCAAATGTTGCAATGCACATAGATCCTGCAGAGAACATCTGAAAACAGTCGTGAATTATATGGATAAAGCAGTTCCAAAAATATTTGTGTCCTTTTATATTTCCAAAATTCTTTTTTGATTGCCATTTCCCCGCCCTGTGGTTTATTCTCTGCATAGTTTTATTTCGAGTGATGGACCTAACATTGGTGCAACCACTATGTGCTGCTTACAGTTTCTCTTCTGGTACTCTGCAGGTTGAATTTTCATATCCACCATTGGTTCCAGAAGAAGGGCATGATGGTCACAGCTTGCCTGAGGAGTGGAAATACCTCCCATTTTTGGCCCTTCCTGATGGAGCACACAACTATCAGGAAGGTAAGACAGACGACAAAATGTTTTTTATGCTGTTATTTATATTAACTCTAGATAACTGTTAGTGTCAGTTGGTAGCCTTCTTGCTGAGTCTGCAGTCATGGGTATACCATTCTACAGAATCTAAGATTGTTACTGTAAATGTTCTAAGATCAAGTGGAAACTTTCTCCTTATTCAGATAGTTCAGATGGATGAATTTGGAGAAGCATTTGAGTTTTCTCAATGTGCTGGCTATATTCTTCTCACAACAATAGGAAAAAGAAAAGTAACTTCATGATCATCTCATTGCTAATGTGGATTTTATTGTGTATGTAACAGTTATCATATTTGTTTGTATTACAGTCAATATATTTGAAATTATCATTATATATGTTGCACGTGGAGGAAATTTTGAGGGATGTAATAAGGTTCTTTGTCTCTCTTCCCTTTATTTCCTTTCTGTTACCCCATCCAACCTCAGGTATATCAAAGTCTGTGTAATTGTTGATGCAGAGATGTTATTACACATCTCTGGAGCAGGTGGGACTTGAGGCCGCGCCTCCCAGTCCAGGCGTACGCTACTGTATCACAAGAGGGGCCCAGAAATTGATGCATTCTTTCTCATTAGCTGCACTTCCATATATTTGTACAAATTGGAAGGTCTCTCAGAAGATGGTGAAGGTGAGAATCACCTAAGGATGGTGGCCCTTTTTGGTTAATTGACCTACAATTTGGTGTTTCAATCTAAGGAAAAGCCTACATGAAAGGCCCAGAAAAATATCTTAAGTTGGGAAGTTTTACACAGGTTTAGTAAATTACACAATAGTGATTTAGATCTTAACAGCTTAAAAATTGTGTTATAGCTGCTTTCGTTACCTTAGTTTTGGGCGGCATGGTGGTTAGCACTGCTACCTCTCAGTGCCAGGGACCCGGGTTCCCTTGGGTGACTGTCTGTGTGAAGTTTGCACATTCTCCTGGTGTCTGTGTGGGTTTCCTCCGGGTGCACTTGTTTCCTCCCACAGTCAAAACGTGCAGGTTAGGTGAATTGGCCATGCTAGATTACCCAGTAGTGTCCAGGGATGTGCAAACTAGGTGGATTAGCCATTGCTGCCCCTTTGCAAGTATAAGGCCAAGTGGTTAGTTTTTTAAATTATTCAGTCATGGGACATGTCTGCTGGCCAAATTTATCGCTCATTCCTATTTGCCCTTGCGAAGGTGGTGGTGAGCTGCCTTCTTGAACCTTAGCAGACCATGCGCTGGGGTTGACCCACAATGCTCTGAGGGAGGGAATTCTAGGATTTTGAACCTGCAACAGTGAAGGAACAGCAATATATTTCAAAGTCAGGATGGAGAGTGGCTTAGAGGGGAACTTGCAGGTGTTGGCATTTCCATGTGTCTGCTGCCCTTATCCTTCCAAATGGAAATAATTGTGGGTTTGGAAGGTGCTATCTAAGATCTTTGGTGAATTTCTGTGGTTGATTCTGTAGATAAATACACTGCTAGTTCTGAGCATTGGTGGTGGAGGGAATGGATACTTGTTGATTTGGTGTCAATCAAATGCACTGCTTTGTCCTGGATGGTGTCAAGCTTCTTGAGTATTGTTGAAGCTGCGCCCATCCAGGCAAGTGGGGAGTGTTCCATCGCCCTATTGATTTTGTGCTTTGTAGCTGTGTACCGACCTTGATGAGTCAGGAGGTTCGTTATCCTCCACAGTATTCACAGAATCCTTACAGTGTAGAAGCAGGACATTCGGTCCATCGAGTCCATGCTGACCCTGGGGAGAGCATCCCACTCCCCCACCCAATCCCTGTAACACTACATTTCCCATGGCCAATCCACCTTACCTGCACATCTTTGAACTCTGTGTGAGGAACCCAGAGGAAACCCACGCAGACATGGGAAGAATGTGCAAACTCCACACAGACAGTTGCCCGAGGGTAGAATTGAACCCGTGTCCCTCGCTCTGTGAGGCAGCAGTGCTAACCACTGAGCCACCGTGCTAACTTCTGACCTGCTTTTGTAGCCACCCCAAGGATGTTGATAGTGGGGGATTCAGTGATGGTAACATCATTGAATGACGAGGAATGGTGGTTAGATTGTCTCTTATTGGAGATGATCATAGTCTGGCATTTGTGTGGCTTGAATGTTGCTTGCCACTTGTCAACCCAAACCTCGATACTATCCAGGTCTTGTTACGTTTGAGCATGGACTGCTTCAGTAAATGAAGAGTTGCAAATAGTGCTGGGCATTGTGCAATCATAAGCAAACATCCCCACTTCTGACCTTTTGATAGAGGGAAGGTCATTGAAGCGGCTGACGATGGTTGGGCCTAGGACATTATCCTGAGGGTCTCCTGCAGAGATGTCCTGGAGCTGAGATGCCTGGTCTCCAGTAATCTTCCTATATGCCAGGTAGGACTCCATCCAGCGCAGAGTTTGCCCCCTGGTACCCATTGATTCCAGTTTTGCGAGTGCTCCTCGATGCCACTCTTGGTGAAATGCAGCCTTGATATCAAGGGCTGTCACTCTCACCTCCCCTCTGGAATCCACTCTTGTCCATGTTTGAACCAAGGCTGTAATGAGGTGAGGAGCTGAATGGCACTGGTGGAACCCAAACTGGGCGTCACTGAGCAAGTTATTGCTGATCAGGTGCTGCTTGATAGCGCTGTTAGTGACACCTTCCATCACTTTACTGATAATGGAGAGTGGACTGATGGGGTGGTAATTGGCTGGGTTGGATTTGTCCTGCTTTTTGTGTACTGTACATACATAGGCAATTTTCCACATTGTCAGGTAAATGCCAATGTTGTCCCAATAGCTAGGGGAGTGGCAAGTTCTGGAGCACAAGTCTTCAGTACCGTTGCTGGAGTGTTGTCAGGGTCCTTGGCTTTGCAGTATCCAGTGCCTCCAATGTGGATATCACATGGAGTGAATCGAATTGGCTGAAGACTGGTAACTGTAATGCTGGGGCCCACTGGAGAAGGCCAAGATGGATCATACTGTCATCACTTCTCACTGAAGGTTGCTATGAATGCTTCAACTTTATATTTTGCGCTGATGTGTTGGGCTCTTTCATCATCGAGGATGGGAAATTTGTGGAGCTTTCTCCTCCAGTGAGTTGTTTAATTGTCCGCCACCATTCAGCAGAGCTTAGATAAGATCCGTTGATTGTGAGATCGCTGATTTCTGTCTGTCGCTTTTTGCTTATGCTGTTTAGCATGCAAGTAGTCCTCTTTGGTAGCTTCATCAGGTTGACACCTCATTTTTAGGTACAGGTAGTTCTCCTATAACGTAATAGTTGCGTTCTTGTATGACCTCGCACTGTAGAAAAACACCGTAGAAAAACACCATTGAAAATCATGTTATAGTGAAATCGCTATAGAAAATCGTTAAACCTGTACAGCAGAAAGTTCACATTATCCAAGCAGCATCCACAATTCACCAATCACATTAACATGAATTGGCTGTAATGAAACACGCATTATAGCAGAACTAGCTGTGTGCCTGATGCTGCTCCTGGCATTCCCCCTACACTCTGCATTGAGCCAGGGTTGACCCCTTGGATTAATAGTTGAATGGCGTATATGCTGGGCCATGAAGTTACAGATTGTGCTGGAGCACAATTCTGCTGCAGTTGATGACCCGTAATGTGTCATGGATGCCAGTCTTGAGTTACTAGATCTATTCGAGGTCTATCCCATTTAGCACAGTGTTAGTGCCACACAACATGATCGAGGTTATTCTCAATGTGAAAGTGGGCCTTTGCCTCCTCCTGGACTGTACAGTGGTCATGCTTAGTGATACGGTCATACACACATGCATCTGCAGCCAGCAGATTGGTAAGTTTGAAGTCAAGTATGTTTTTTTTCTCTTCTTGTTGATTCCTTCACCATCTGCCTCTGTGTCCTTTAGGACTGACCAGCTCATAGTGCTGCTGCCAAGCCACTCTTGGTTGTGGATGTTGGAATCTCCCACCCAGAGTACTTTTGCACCATTGCCACCCTCAGTGCTTCCTCCAAGTATTGTTCAACATGGAGTATTGATTCATCAGCCGAGGGAAGAGAGTACGTGATAATCAGCAGGAGGTTTCCTTTCCCATGTTTAACTTGAAGCCATGAGATTTCATTGTGCTGGCGTCAATGTTGAGGACTCCTGGGGCAACTCACCCCAAATATATAGCACTGTGCCACCATTTCTACTGGGTCTGTCCTGCCAGTGGGATAGGGCATATCCAGAGATGGTGATAGTAGTGTCTGGGACATTGTCTGTAAGGTATGATTTTGTGAGTATGACTACATCAGGCTGTTGCTTCACTAGTTGGTAAGACACCTCTCCCAATTTTGGCAGTAACCGTCAGGTGTTCATAAGAAGACTTTGCAGGGTGAACAGGGCTGTTTCTGTCGTTGTCTTTTCCACTGCTTAGATCAATGCCAGATGGTCTGCCTGGTTTCATTTTTTTTTGGGACTTTGTTGCGATTGATACAGCTAAGTAGCTTGCTAGGCCATTTCAGAGGGCTGTGTGAGTCAAGCACATTGCTGTGGGTCTGGAGTCACGTGTAGGCCAGAAAAGGTAAGGATAGCAGATTTCCTTTCCTGAAGGTCATTGGTGAACTAAATGGGTATTTCCAAAAATCTAAGATGGCTTCATGGTCAGCCGTACAAAGAACAAAGAAAATTACAGCACAGGAACAGGCCCTTCGGCCCTCCAAGCCTGCGCCGATCCAGATCCTCTATCTAAACCTGTCGCCTATTTTCCAAGGATCTGTATCCCTCTGCTCCCTGCCCATTCATGTATCTGTCTAGATACATCTTAAATGGCGCTATCGTGCCCGCCTCTACCACCTCCGCTGGCAAGGTGTTCCAGGCACCCACCACCCTCTGCGTAGATTCGTAATTCCAGATTCTGGACTACTGCAAGAAGTTTTGGTCTCCTTATCTGAGGAATGTTCTGGTTATGGAGGGATTGCAATGGAGATTTACCAGACTGGTTCCTGAGATGGCAGGACTGTCTATGAAGGCACACTGGATCAATTAGGATTACATTCATTGAAATTTAGAAAGAGAGAGAGGTTCTCATAGAAACCTTTAAAGTTCTAACAGAATTAGGCAGGATAAGTGCTAGACTGAGAGTCCAGAGCCAGGGATCACAAATAAAGGATAGGTGATAGGTCATTTGGTTTTGAGATAAGGAGATTTTTCTTCACCCAGACAGTGGTGAGCCTGGGGAATTCTCTGTCACAGAAAGTGATTTCTATTCAGAGGAGGTTTGATTACAGTCAGAAACACAATATATATCCTTTCTCCTTGAAAAGAAATAAGTTACCTTAGCAGAAAGTTAGCTTGAGTATCTTCCAAATTGGTTTGAAAATTACATTATTAAAAAAAGCTAAGTAAGTATAAGCTTTCAATTTTGAGTATGTATGCAAAAAGACCTCACAGCTCCCAGCAAAAATAAACTGGGATGAATCAATTGCATCAAACTGAAGTTTTGAGCTAGAGGGATAATTTCTCAGGCTTTGCTGTAAAGTATTGGTGTTGGGAATAATTGAGAATTTTGTATGTCTGTGTGTTTTAAAACCTTTCAAACAGTGTTCTATATTTAGGTGGCGTGTTTGTTTTATTTCATCATGTTTCCTTTTATGTAATAAACTTCTATTTTATTGTTGAAGAATCTGCAGCCTTGTGTACTTATATGTCATTGAATGACCACATTAAGATACAAAAGAATATATGGTCTGTCAAGCCAGGTTTCATTCTAGAATGTGACTTGTCTAGTAGTAACGTCAGTTGTGATTATAACAAGTGTTGTGAATAAATATTGTGATAACTGTGTGCAAATGTTTTATCTTCTTATGCTATTGTCACTTAATTTAGTATTTGTACCTTCCAATTATTTACTGATCATTTCAACTTACCTTTAAAGCACTATGTGTATCAGAAGTGCTTCATTCTAATGCTATCTCTGAAACATATTTTCAGCTGTTTTCTATGATTTTATATTTTTGATTTTCTCCTTTCTCAGATACCATTTATTTTCATTTGCCTCCAAGGAGTGGAAATCGAAAGACAGTTTATGGTGTTTCCTGCTACCGACAGATTGAAGCCAAGGTAAATTTTCCTTCAGTAAAAATAACTTTAATGATTTACACCTGACCAGCTTGAATGGAAGACAAAAACTGTTAGTCAAACTCATTACACAATTTCTCATCAGAACGCCATTTCCCTACTAATACTGATTTCCTTCCGTTCTTCTCTCGTGAGAGGAAAATGGATGAGATTAAAGGCCGATAAATCCTCAGCGCCTGATAGTCTAAGTTCCAGAGTACTTTAGAAAATGGCCTTAGAAATATAGTAATGGTTGCGTTGGTTGTCATTTTCAAGATTCTGAATGTAACACCACTATTTAAAGGGAGGTAAAGAGCAAACAGGGAATTCTAAGCCAATTAATGTGACATCGGTAGTAGGGAAAATGCTAGAGACTATTTTAGAAGATTTAATAGCAGAACACTTGGATAAAAAGTAGCAGGATTGAACAAAAGTCAGGATGGATTTATCTTCTGGAACTTTTTGAGGATGTATCTAATAGAGTTGATAAGGGGGAGGTGGTGGATATGGTGTATTTGGACTTACAGAAAGCTTTCGTTAAGGTTCCACATAAGAGCTAGTATGTACAATTAAACTGCATGGGATTGGGGGCAGTATACTGACACAGAACTGGTGGGCAAACTGGACAGAAAGAATAGGAATAAATGGATCTTTTTCCAAGAGCCAGACAGTGACTAGTGGAGTAAAGCAGGTATCCAAGCTTGGACCCTAGCGATTCGCAATATATGTTAATAATTTAGATGATGGAACTAAATGTTATTTCCCCAAGATTACAGATGAGACAAAGCTGGATAGAACGGTGAACTGTGAGGAGGATGCTTCAGTATGAATTATCAAGTTGAGTAAGTGGGCAAATGCATGGCAGCTGATGTATAATGTGGTTAAATGTGAGGGTATCCACTTTGGCTGCCAAAGTAGGAAGAAGGGCAATCTGAATGGCAATAGATTGGAAAAAGGGGAGGTGCATTGTGTCCTTGTACACCAGTCTCTAAAAGTAAGAATGCAGGTGCAGCAAGCCTTGAAGTCAAATTTATGTTTGCCTTCATAGTGATGGGATTCGAGTAGAGGTGCAGGCATCTCTTGCTGTAAACATAAGGGCCTTGGTGAAATTACACCTGGAGTATGGTGTGTAGTTTTGGTCTCCTTATCCGAAGGGAGATGATCTGGCTATGAATGGAGTGCAACAACAGTTTACCAGACTGATTCCTGGGATGGCAGAACTGTTGTGTGAAGAGAGAATGAATCAGTTAGAACTGTATTAACTGGACTTTAGAAGACTGAAGGGATATCTCGTAGAAACCTATAAAGTTCTAACAGGACTAGGCAAGACAAATGCAGGAAGGACGTTCCTGATGACTGGAGGATCCAGAACCAGGGGTCATGGTTTAAGGATACGGGGTAGTCCTCTTAGGACTGAGATGAGAAGGAATTTATAATCATAAAGCATGGAAATAAACTGTTTGGTCCAACTTGTCCGCGCTGATCACTTTTCCCAAACTGAACTAGTCCCATTCTCCTAGATAACAAGGTGTAGAGCTGGATGAACACAGCAGGCCAGGCAGCATCACAGGAGCAGGAAAGCTGACATTTTGAGTCTGGATCCTTCTTCAGAAATGGGGGAGGGGAAGGGGACTCTGCCTCCCCCTCTCTCAATTTATTTCAATGATGGAAGGTGAATTAAGGAGCAGATAGGTGAAGAGAAGATGGACAGGTCACGGAAGTGGGGATGAGGCTAGTGGTGGGAAGTGGGTGTGCGGGTTGGTCAGTGAGGTGGGAGGAGCAGATAGGTGGGAGAAAAGATGGACAGATCAAGGAGGCGGGGATGAGCTGGGCTGGTTTTGGGATGAGGTCGAGGGTGGGGAGATTTTGAAGCTTGTGAAGTCCACATTGATACCATTGGGCTGCAGGGTTCCCAAGTGGAATATGAGGTGCTGTACCTGCAGCCTTCGGGTGGCATCGTTGTGACACTGCAGGAGGCCCAGGATGGACATGTCGTCCAAGGAGTGGAATGGGGAGTTGAAGTGGTTCGTGACTGGGAGGTGCAGTTGTTTGTCGTGAACCGAGCGTAGGTGTTCCACAAAGTGGTCTCCAAGCCTCTGCTTGGTTTCCCTGATGTAGAGGAGGCCACATTGGGAACAGCGGATACAATATACCACATTATGTGTCTTCTGTCTACCTATCTGCTCCTTTATCCACCTTCCACCTTCGCCTCCCCCTCTGTCTATTTATTTCAGAATCCCCTTCCCCTCCCCCACTTCTGAAGAAAGGTCCAGACCTGAAACGTCAGTCTTCCTGCTCCTCTGATGCTGCTTGACCTGCTGTGTTCATCCAGCTCTACACCTTGTTATTCTCAGATTCTCCAGCATCGGCAGTTCCTAGTATCTCTGAGTGAGTTTTAGTCCCATTTTCCTGCTTTTGGCCTGTGCACCCCCCCCCCCCCAAACCTTTCCTATTCAAATGGACAGCATTAGAGAGATCTATACCTGTCCAAATATCTTTTAAAGTGGTTGAGGCCAAAACGTTGCATGTTTTCAGGAAGGAGTTAGATATATTTCTTCAGGCTAAAGGGATCAAAGGGTATGGGAGAAAGTGAGAACAGTGTAGTAAGTTGGATGAACGTAATAGTAATATATATTAATATTGATATTAAATGACAGAGCAGGTTTAAAGGACCAAATGGCCTACACCACTCTTATTTTCTACGTTTCTGTAATGGTAATACTGATATGTGATAATGTCCTGTGTTTGTTGCTCAATCAATCACTTAACAACTACCTATGAATTATTCATCAGTTGCCTGAACCTGCATGGAATCCTTGTGATCCAGGAAATTGCTTTGCTGAGCCACACGTGATATAAAAGTCATGTCCAAAACTATTCATAGAATCATAGAGTCCCTACAGTATGGAAACAGGCCCTTCGGCCCAACAAGTCCACACCAACCCTCAGTTGACTATGACTATTGTCATGTGCCATTTAAAGTTGATAACTTTTGCTCTGAAGAGGCCTTGAAGGCATCATGTTTAGAATGTAGAAAGTATAGTGGCTACTGTATTCTTTTAATACAAAACTGAATCAGAAGTGAAACCAGAAAGTGCACCAGGTAGACTACTACCAAAGGTTACCCACATTAATTCAGTTGTCACACATAATACAGGGTTTTGCAATCTGACTGGCCAACCTTCATTTTAGCCTAATTCTGCTGAGACAAATCAGTATTTTAACTTCAGACTTTAAATGGGCAGCTCAGTGGCTAACACTGCTGCCTCATGGCACTAGGACCTGGATTTGATCCCATCCTCCAGTGACTGTGTGGAGTTTGCACTTTCTCCCTGTGTCTGCGTGAGTTTCCTCTGGGTGCTCCGGTTTCCTCCCACAGTCCAAAGATGTGCAGGTTAGGTGGATTGGCCACCACCTGCGCTGGACCCATGGGCATGCTTTTGATGCCACATGCGCATCACTTTGCAAGCACTTTGTGTTGGGGTGTTTTACCCTGTCACTTATTGCAAATAGATCTCCGATAGCGAATATGGCATGCATCTGGTTGCTTTATGTGATGGCAGTAGTTTTTCCAATTCTGAAAACTAATAAAAGTTGATGTAAGCATCACAGCCTGGTAGTTTATGATTTTTGTTCTCAGGCAAAGTCCATAATCTGTGAATAAGCCTGCCAAATAGTAGCAGACAGAGTATGGTGTTGGATGGTTATTTTTTGGATTTGAGGCCTGTCACCAATGGTGTTCCACAGGGATCGATACTGGATCCACTTTTGTTTATCATTCATATGAATAATTTGGCTGAGAGTGTAGGAGGCATGGTTAGCAAGTTTCCGGATGACACCAAAATTGGTGGTATAGTAGACAATGAAAAAGGTTTCTAAGAATACAAAGAGATCTTGATCAGTTAGATCAATGGGCTGAGGAGTAGCAGATAGAGTTTAATTTGGATAAATGCGAGGTATCGCATTTTGGCAAAACAAACAAGGGCATGACTTACGCATTTAATGATAGGGCCCCGCGTAGTAATGTAGAATAGAGAGACCTAAAGGTTCAGGTACATAATTCTTTGAAATCAGTGTCATGGGTAGACAGGGGTGTTCAGAAGGCATTTAGCATGCTTGCCTTCATTGCTCAGACCTTTGAGTGCAGGAGTTGGGGACGTTATGTTGAGGTTGGTGAAGCTGCTTCTGAACTACTTTTCTGAAGAAGGGTCCAGACCCGAAACGTCAGCCTTCCTGCTCCTCTGATGCTGCCTGGCCTGCTGTGTTCATCCAGCTCCACACTTTGTTATCTCTGGAGTACTGTGTGTATTTCTGGTGGCCCTGCTATAGGAAGGATATTATTACATTGGAGAGGGTTCAGAAAAGATTTCCCAGGATGTTGCCAGGAATAGAGGGTTTCAGTTATGAAAATAGGCTGGGACTTTTTTCACTGGAGCATAGGGGGCTGAGAGTGACCTTATAAAGGTTTGTAAAATCATGTTGTACCTGTGAGTGTTCTTTGTATAGCCATCTATTTAGTACTTCCAGATAAGGACATTGGGACATGTGAATATATACTATAATACATTACATAAACAAATGGAATATATGGTAATATCCTAGAGCCATAGAATGATGCAACACGGGAGGAGGCAATTTGGTCCATGTATATTTGCCTATATGGTACTTTGACAGAAACATCTAAATAATATCTCCCTAAAGAGCATCAGAAAGCAGGTTAGACAATTTATACATTTTTCCTATTTGTTTCAACATCCTCCTATGTGCACCTTCCCTATCTGCACTCTGTACATGGTTGTGAATTTTGCATTTGGAGAAATAGTTTTGAATTGGTATTAAATAATTTTTTTTTGCTGTTTGCAAATCAATCATTGCACTGTGTTAATATGTTACTGATGTTTGCCACTGTCACTTTTTGTGTTCAATGTAGTCATGTTCAGAAAATGATGCCACTGAGTGCATGTCTCTATAAAGGCTTTAATTGTTCTTAACTTCAGGCCCTGAAGGTACGGCAGGCTGATGTCACAAGAGAAACTGTTCAGAAGAGCGTTTGTGTACTCAGTAGGTTGGTAAGTGGGCTGAGCCTTTCTCAAATATATTTCAAAAATAGCAGCCTCATTTCAAATAAAGGTTTTTTTTAATCAATTATTGCAGAATTCATATTCTTACATTTAACTTCTTTGAGCATGATTCTGATTTGAACTGTGAAAGCAACAAAAACTCTCGAGATTTTGAGCAATTTCATTTTTGCTGATTTTTCTTTCCCTTTCCACACAAACTATCTTTTCCTTTATATACATTAAATGGACTGGGGAGCTAGCCATTAGGCCTGTAGGAATGCTGCTGTCACCTAAGGATAGAGACATCTGAAGAGTTGCCTATTGTATATCTCTTGCTCCCTTTCACTAATCTATATGAAACCAAGTGCGGGCTTTAGAGTTAAAAATGGAAATTCACTATTTTGGAAAAATATGGATGCAAGTATATATTTCTGTTCAGTGTTTTAAACCAATATCTAGCAGTTTCAACTGTGTTAGCAATAATGAAGCTTTACTTGTCTTGGAAAGTGGTGGGCCATGTTTGGAAATTATTGGGGGTGGGTTACAAATGCAATTTGCATTGTGGCTTTGGACATCCCAGAGGAACCTCTGACATGGTCTTTATTGCCAGGCAAATCCAAGAAAGGTGTTGAGAACAACAACAAGGACTCTTTGAATTGTAAAAAAGTTAAAGTACTGAGAGAGGCAGTTCAACCCATCATGTCTGTGCCAGTATTTATTGACTTGATAAAGCATATGGCTCAATACATCATGAGACAATCAGTTGTTCTCCAGAGATTTCGATGTTCTTGAAAGTTCTTCACCATTCTGCAACTGCTTCATGATGATATGACTGTAACTGTTTTGAGCAAGAAATCTGAAACAAACTCATTCAAAATCCAGAGATAGTAGGAACTGCCGATGCTGGAGAATCTGAAATAACAAGGTGTAGAGCTGGATGAACACAGCAGGCCAAGCAGCATCAGAGGAGCAGGAAAGCTGACGTTTCTGGTCTGGCCCCTTCTTCAGAAATGGGGGAGGGGAAGGGGATTCTGAAATAAATAGGGAGAGAGGGGGAGGCGGATAGAAGATGGATAAAGGAGAAGATAGGGGGAGAGGAGACAGACAGGTCAAAGAGGCGAGGTTGGAGCCAGTAAAGGTGA